GATGGCCCCGAAAGGCTGGAAATGGGTTTTTTAATAGCAGTCACTGAGTTTCTCTTATTTCAAACATTGCTTCCCTTTAAAGGGAAGAAGGCATTTTAGATGTGTCAGATTCCTTTATTAATCTATCTTTGATCAGTGTAATCTCCCTATTTTCATTTGAACTGCTCATCTTTTATAAGTGCACGGGTCCCGGGCCTCAGTGTTTCAAACCATCTGAATCCTGCTTGATGTGACAGGTGAATTGCTGAAAACAGCAGAAGTTGGTGTAATAAATATTGACTAAAAACTCTGAAGTGGCCATTGTTGCCTTCAGAAGGCCACTAGGAAACAAGCTCGGTTTGTGTTGGGTGGCTGGTGCCTTGCGAAGGTGATTAATCAGCACAAGTGTGTGTCCTGGTGAAGAATTGCTTGGGAGCTTCTGCACTGGCTCTCTTCCACGTGGAGAACTGCAAACACGTTACTTGAAACATTATCAGAACTTTAAGATAAACGTATTTCCCCCCCCCCTCCCATTTTGTTCTCTGCCAAAGCTGGACACCTTGGTTTGAGTCCTTTAGTCCTTCATGTTCCCAGCTCTGTGTCTGGTCTTGCTTGAATCCAGTGAAGATGAGTGTTCAGACCTTGCTGTAGTTCTGATTTCTGTTGGAGCACTGGAAGTGAAAATGTATCACTGAAGAAATGCATCAAAAGCTTTAGTGCCGGTTGTGAAAAATAAAGATCCTGTGCGGAAGAAAAAGCAACTGTGACTGCAGTTGCAAGGATCTGGGTTGTAGCTGCTGTACCTGGGAGGGCTGTCAGGTTCTGAGGACTCCTGGGGCAGCAGCCCCTGCCCCGTTGGTGTGCGCTGATGGGTCAGGACCAGGCGCCTCCCTGCGGTTCGGTGGGATTTTGAAGATCCCTGGCTTGGTTTGGCTGTCGTGTGGTTTCTTTCTTTGAAGCAGGGATACAGTAGCTCTGTGCTTGGTTTGTAGTACTTCACTCGACCGGCCGCAGAAGTTTCCCTTGGTGATGTACGTGCGCAGCAACGGTAAATGGACGTTTTAGGTTGTGTAGGTGATTCCCCTCCTCCCCCTTTGCTCTCAGATAACTAAAACCATTATTTGGAAGTACTTAATAGTCTCTGCAGTAGTTTCTGCAGTGTTAATAAGTGTCTCTGAAGGAGTATTTAAGTGGAACTAAAGGACAAGTGTACACATCTGTGCAAAGAAGTACTTTTAAACACTGCGGTGACCCCTGAACTATTGCGAGTTACGCAAGAGGAAGCAACTTAGTACAGGTATTACAGGTGCACTACAGAAACGTAGCTGCACACTTCTGTCCTGTGTTTTGCCTGTGTCAGAATGGTGTTTTCATCTCCTGTGTTGATGTTGCCCCGTAGTGTTTTAAAACCTCAGCACTTGAAATGCCACGCTTCATCTTGTTGTCAAAGATGTCTTGAGATGCTTGGGGGGATGAGAGAGACAAATCTGATGTCTGGAGGCATGGGTAACTGTGGAAATCTGAACAGAGAATGCAATCTAACTCTGTCCTCTGAGGGGAATGGTTATCAGATGAGGTTTTGGTGGTTATTTATCTCTGATACTGGTGCTTGAAGAGGAGGGCATTGAAATGAGTTTGCAGTAAACAGAACGCATCGTACTTCCAAAAGCCATTGGTGTTGCTGACAACGGCGCTCCACAGCTGCTTCTCCCTCAGATCTTCCTTTCCTCCCTCTGCTCTTTGCTGCCGAAGGGATCGTCTCCAGGCTCCTGGGCAGCGGGAGCAGCCCAGCCCTGTGCTTGCAAGGCTCCCACCTAGGGACGGTAGCAGAAATAGCACGCAGAGAGGGAGGAGGCAGGGACGGCAGCGCCTGCTGGAGATGCTCTTTTGCCCGCTGCGGTGCTGAAGAACTGAAAGAACCCCACATGTAACGACCACAGGGATTGTAGTTACTGCTTGGAAAGGAAAGGATAACGTTGGTCCTCTTGGCAGCGAGGGTGTTAATACAGATGAAAATACACAAGCGAATCGGTGCACTGCGGAAGATGAAATGCTTCCCCTGTCAGTTCTCAAACGCTATTAAATCCACCCAGTTCAACACCAGTGCCTTGATGTCTGTCTCTTTCTTTGACCAAGGTATGGGAATACGATCTTTTTAACGGTGAGTGTTTGGATTTTAAAATGTTTGTTTGGTTGCTTTTTCTCTCTCCAGTACTGATTTTTGGATAGAATAGGCGTCTCAGCCCTGTTTTGGCACTAGTTAAGCAGAAATTCTTTTTTCTCCTTACTTGAACACGTTTGTTTTGTCCTTGGAAAGGGAACCGTCCAAGATTACAGTGCAGAAGGCGTCGCAGATTCTATAGAAGTAACTTGAGTTTAAAATCCGATTATTTTCTGTTGTGATTGCTGCTAAGGATTATATTTTATTTCTAATTTAAAATTGATCCAAGTACTTGAAAATATCTTCTGCACAGGAGAATTCTGAGTACCCTGTCAGTGCTGACTGAGCCTGCTGGACTTTTTGGAGGTGTGGGGATGTTAGTACTGAAAGTTCATCCATGCAGTGGAGCCTAAGGACTTGGATCAGCTTGGAGGTCACTGATACCAAGCTTGGGTGATATTAAATAAATGCAAAACATGAGAATGTCTGGAACTATTACAGAAAAGTGGATAGCTTTCTGCTCTACATAAGACTTGTGTAATTATTAAATACAGTATATATTACATCAGCAGACTTAAGAAAAGAGAGGTTTTATCCCTTAATTTAAGGTTTTTCTGGCTGTTGTTGCTGCCTGCCTCAAGCCTAAGGCTTTTGACCTTGTACAACTTTTCAGTGACTTCCACCAAATAAGCACTATGAGGAATTTATCCTTCTGTTCTTGTATGGATACATACGACAATTTAAAGTAAGTTTTTCTTTGCTATTCTCCTTCCACATATATGTGCGCATTTAGATGTGCTGATAACTTGCTGTATCGTCTTCTGTTTTAAGACTGGCTTAGCTTGCTGTGTTCAATCTCAATGTTTTTCAGAATAGTAATTATTCTGTATACTTCTCACTATTGAGAGGTCTTGGTTTTCCTCAGTTAACTGATCACTTCCTTAAGGCAGTCTCCTATCATAGGATTACAAGGTGGTTTGCACTGGATGGAATAGTCAAAACTAGATTGCCTGGTGTGCACCTCACTCTTTCTGCAGACCGGATTTGGTAGTTGTAGGTTACCTCTGTGTCTGCTCACCTGTGAAGGGTCCGTGTTGAATGCGTTGTCCGTATCTTCAGCTGAATGGCATGCAGGCTTAAGTCTTACAGTGGTGAGATAAATCACTTTATCTTGTTCACAAAGACATGAATGAATGGATAAAGTAATGATTATTGTCTGGGGGGGGACTAAATATGTGCCCTCAAATCCAGGTTTTTCTATGTCATCTGCATCCTGGTTTACCTACACAAGCTTACATCACGTTTATGTCCTTAACACAGTGTTCTTGAGCAATTTCAGCCTGTTTGTGTTTCAGCAGTAGCAGATAATCACGGCAAGGGAGGTGGATGGAGACAGTATAATCTTGTGTTGATGCTTTGTTACGTGGCAGTTTGTGCTGTATGTATAGAAAATACAGCTGAGCTGTATGTACCCCTTTGTGCCAGGAACCCAACTCTGCAGCTTTCGCTTCTGCTGGACGATTTTGCAGCCAAGCGTGGCCTCCTTGTCTAGGCTGTCCTTGCACTGGGCAGTTTTCAGGCAGATACACAGCAGCTACAAGCATGCACCCTAATGCAGTTAAAGAAGAGCTTGTTAATGTGTCTGGGACAACCCGAGAATGATGGAAGTTTCATTTTGGTGTTAAAGTGAATAAGAGGAAAATCCTGCGTGTTTCACTTCTGCAAAATGAAATAACCCCACTACTGTTTGTGACAATAACTTCTGTGATAGCTGTGCAATAGTGTCTGTGTACATTCAGACTGAAGAGCTGGTTTTAGCAGTAGCTTTCAGTCTGTCAGGAGGTACCAGACCTTTTTAACTCTAAAACAGAGAATGAAGAAACCATCCAGTGGGACATGTGGCTACATGGTTTATCTACATTATGCTGACATGAAAGTGAAACAGCCTGAAGACTTGCCTATGTCAAAATCTGAGGTACTTTCTTCTGCAAAAGATTAGATTTGTATATTGTGATGCAATTTGAAGCTGGCATTAGAAGAATGGTTTGGCTTCTGATGCTGCCGTTTGAAAGGATGGGGGGGCATGTGTGTGTTTGAAAACGTGACTTGGTGTGTTGGAGCTTAAGTTCTAATTTGTCTTTTTTTCTTTTTTTGCTGTATAAGCAGATCAGTTTGATAAGAGGCATGACTGGGGGTTTTTTCAATGTATATTCACAATTTAGTGTTTTAGTGTTCCATATACATTACTTATCTTCCTGTAAGCCTTCCTCATCCAGAAGAGACACTCAAGTGTTTCAGAGACAGCCGGTTGAATTTATTTTCCTAACTTTCTGTAGCTGTTTTTGTTCTACATCCTTGCATTCCTCGGCCGCTGATGTCTGAACATCTCCACCCAATACGTTTTGCCCTTAAGTTGTCAAATGCGTGCAGAGACCTTAAAAACAGAAAAGGCTTTTAGATCATATGGGTAATAATTGTATCTAAGTTTTCTACCAGAAAGAATGGAGAAAATTAAAGTAGGAATGTGTATATACTCTGCTGTTACAGTGCATCCTGAAGATCTGTTTCTATCCCAGAGTAGCAATCATAACAGAAACCCAGTTCTAAAAGCGATGATATAAAACCTTTAAAATCTGTTCAGTGTGCAGCACTGAACTGGTAACTCTGGCACAGGGAACTAATAACTGGTTTTCAGATGTAGAGCTTTAAAAAATTACTTCTATATTTTTGAGTAAATCCCTACTTGTATTTCATACCATAAGTATACTTAAACTGAAGTATGTGTTTTGTTTTTTTACTTACAGCTTTCTTAGACACTTAGAATTATTAACTTGTGGGGTTTATTTTTGTTCCTATGCAGCGGATATAATTTCTACAGTAGAGTTTAACCATTCTGGAGAGCTGTTAGCAACAGGAGACAAAGGAGGTAGAGTTGTCATCTTTCAACAGGAGCAGGAGGTGAGTGCACACTACTTAAAGTCTATTTAGTGTTCTCTCTTCCTATTAATTCTATTTTTAAAGAAAGGAAGCATGCTTTTATAAAGAACTTTACACAAAGTGCATGCCTGTGTAATAAGTGATTAAAACAATGACATTTAACAGTGAAGAAAGTACTGTTACTGTTAGAAATTAGTTTCTCTTTAAATACTCTAAATACTCTTTAGACCACAGTTAAAAGTGAAAACAAGAAGGGGTGGGGGATAGAACACAAAAAGACCTTGGGGGAAGCTGAAGTTGGATGTTTTTTCAATGACTCTTCTTGGCTGTGATTTACTATTTCAGATTTCACTGTAGCTGGGGAAATAAAAGTTGCCTTTAAGCGAGTGTGTAACTGTGACCTAAGGTGTCCTTTTCCATTCTGGTGTCAGTTGGGTAAAGTTACAGTCATAGTAGCAAAGGTGTCTTTGAATTTTGTACTCAGTTATTTGGTCTTTGCAGAATTCTACAGCCAAATCTTCCAGTGCCAGGAAAGGGCTTCCACTCACCTGTTAAAGGTGGGAGAGCCGAGATGGAGCGCTTGATCTTTAACTGAGGTTGTAGTTAGACATTGACTTGGGTAGCATTTATTTCACGGAGAGGATGAAAGGCACTTCTGCTGTCGTGCTGTTCCTCCTTTCCTTAGTGGCTCATTCCCTCTCGACTTTCAAAATCCTAAAGCTGAAGAATTGAGTTTACCCAGAGCCAGTTCCTTTCTGCTGGTGCAGCAGTGGAGAGCAGCCCCTGCTCCCGAGGCAGAGCCTTCGGGCCGTTGGTGCCCTCTGCTGGGGTGCGGGGCCTGGGCAGCCTCTGCGCAGGGCCCTGTGCCTGGAGCCTGGGATGAGCGGAGTACACCAAGTATCCTGACCGGAACCGGCCTGGAGTTCTGGGCACAAACTCGTGGTGTTTATTGGTGTGGGGTGGGGTTTTTTTGGTGATTTTTCGGTGGTTTGTGGGGGTTTTGTTTGTTTGCTTGTTTGTTTGAACTGAGTTTCAGCTAGCATCCTTTAAGGATCCTCTAATGTAGCATAAAGCTTCAATATCTAATTGCCTGTTCTCAAGTGAGCCGTCTTTAAATGACTACTTGGTTTTGATGCACAACCCATGGCTCATATCCTTACGCTCTGTGAATACAGATATAGTAAGAAGCACCTGGGTTATCAGATTAAGTTGCACAGAATTGTTTTTGGCATAATGTGACTCCTCAGTCTTTAGGGAATGAACAGTGGGCACTGGATTCCCTAATGCATTACTAGTTAGCTACACCATATGCACTACTGTCTACAGCAAGTTTTAAATGAAAGAGCATCTAAAAGGCAATTGTTTAAGTATTTTGGTTGGATTTATTTACCACCTTCCATGACACTGCATTCCAGAGGGCTTTACAGCCCGTACATACAGGAAAAAACCCCCACTAAATCACAAGCGCTGTGTGCAGGGCTGTACAAGCTTGTGTAGCTTTACCTGCTGCCAAAGTGCTGCCACCTCTGGGCTGGAATGTGGCAGCCCTTCTGCAGCGTGGAGCTGTGGCGTTGTGTAAGTACTGGGCAGGAAATGAACACTGTATCTAATTGAAACTGGAGGAGGAATTTGCGTAGGCAGCCTGTAATTACCTAAATTGGAATTTAACATCAGGCACTTGGGCCAACACCTCTTTTGTTTTGGATTTTGTGTGTGTCTTGAGACGGTCTGATGGTTTAAATTTTGCTTTTATCCCAAGGAAGGATTCCATATATTGATTTTATACATTATTACAGTCCTGTAGAGTTTTATTAGAATACACAAGAAGTATATTTAAGACTCGATCATTATGGTAAGAATGGAATTGAAGTTCCCTGAATCATGACCAGCATTTCCTAAAGCACACTGGATTTACTTCAGAAGTCGCCTGCTCTGTGCAGTGACTCTGCTTTAACTTGTTAGGTCTCACTGAGACTCAGAACAAAGTTCCTTCCGTTCCCTAGGGTGGGAAAGCCAAGTATAATTCATAGGTGTGGTGCAATTTCCTAGTGCCAAATTTTATTTCAAAGCATTTTTTCCACTTTTCCCTTCCCCACAGCTTACTGTAAAATGTCGGAATTCCTGCTAGCTATGAATGTAAGGGTATGAAGCAGCAGAAAATGATGCCTGGAATGTGACAAATGTGGGCTAGCAGGGATCCTATCGAGAAGTATGTTTTAGTGAGGTATTGAGGGATGAGGTGAATGGATGGGCACAAGATGCACAAGAGAAGGAAGAAGCACAGTCTCAAATACATATCACAGGAAAGGCATCTGATGGTGCAACCTCCTGAAATGGGTGGAACAGGAATATAGCAGAAAATGAAGCCTGAATTAATTTCGGGTACACCTAGCGAGCACCGCTTCAGAAGTGGTTCCAGTTTTCTGTCACCACTGGAGGCAAATTAAGGTTCAGTCCATGCAGTGCTATATGAGTGCCGGGAAGCTGCTGCCTATAACATAGCTTTTAGAAAGAGGAATTATGCATGTTTGGATGTTTTTCAGTTTTTTCAAACAGCTCCATCATGAGCAGGCTAACTGCAGGAGTGGCTTTTAATGTCAAAGATGCATTCAGCAGCAGTATTAAGCTTTTTTTCCCCTTGCTCTCCAGAATGAGGAAGAAAAAAGCTTCTTAAGCAGTTGAGAAGGTCTCAGGGAATGTGGAGATTCTAAATCAGAATAGTGAAGCTGCTTGTATAAATTTAGAGGTGACGTGTGGGATTTCCATAGTGTGCCTAGCAAGCCGAGCTTACTCACAGAGTAGGTTTGCCATATGTGTGGCAGTGTGGTTCTCTTGGGGAATATTCTCCTTAAAACACAAAGATGGAGAAGTTAAAGATGAGAGAATGATGAAGAATTGTGGTTTTTTTAAAAAAGAAAACCTACTGTGCCTAGAATGTTGAGGCAAAATGTTAGTTTGTAAGTTCAGCTGCCTGGAATTACCATGAGAACTTGTTGGAGATGCTCATGTGGCTGAGGGGAGTTTCTGGAAACCTTAGGAATCAAAAGCGGCTGCGATCACTGTCTCTTCTCTGATGCTTTCTTAGCAAGATGATTCTCATTTTGTCTGTTCTACAGGCTTGTTAAAATAAGACAAGTTGTACACCAAAGGGTACTCATGACAAATCGGGCATAGGCAATGATATAGTGTAGAAGTCCCAACCTATTCTTATGCTAATAAAGAGTCTGCCTGTATATCTCGCTGCATAAGTATCTGGTTCTGGCTTCTGCCTGCTGCCTTGAAGAGCATTCTGTACATTGCATACAAATCTTGATCGTTTAATTCTCTCTTTAGAACAAAACCCAGTCTCACAGTAGAGGAGAATACAATGTTTACAGTACCTTTCAAAGCCATGAACCAGAGTTCGACTACTTGAAAAGTTTAGAAATTGAAGAGAAGATCAACAAAATTAGGTGGTTACCCCAGAAAAATGCTGCTCAGTTTTTATTGTCTACAAATGGTAAGTTATGACTGAATAGTTAATTTTGCGTGGTAATGTATTGTTACGTAGGCTTGCTGTTAGGGTTTTGTCTAATCCTCTTCACTTTCAAAAGCTGGAAGGCTTTTAAATGGGAGTATCAGGGATGTGTCTACACAAGAGTTACGCTGTGTAACTACACTGTGGATCTGGCTTAGCTGGATGCAGAAGCCCCACAGCACAGGGTGGTACATCAGCCATTGCTGCTTTGGTTCTGTACAGCAAAGGGCCTTGCTGAGCTGTCATTCAGTGCCTTCGTCTGCGTAGAACTGTGAGATCACTTCTGTTAGTCATTCATAACAATCCTGGTTCGAACTGAAACTTGCTGTAACTTTTATAAAAAGAACAAACTGTGGAGGAGGTCTTTTTAATGCTCTTTATCTTGTCTTGTTTTCTCCAAGTGGTATTTTTGTCTTTTTTGGTACACGTAGGTGGCCTTGTCTTGTTTGAAGGCTTCATGTTAAAGTGCATCAACTATGAAGACTGGTATCTTTGTTAGAGCTTTGATTTGAAGCTGTGGCTGTTTCATTTCAGATAAAACAATAAAGTTATGGAAAATCAGTGAAAGGGACAAAAGACCAGAAGGTTATAATTTAAAGGAAGAAGATGGACGGTATAGGGATCCTACTACAGTTACAACACTACGGGTGAGTAGTTTACTCTTTGTGAATTAGCCACATTTGAGTGATTTCTCCTCTCCCTCCTGCGGGCACACAGATCAGCCTGTGGCTCACTGAGTAACTGCCCCATCAGATTATTCATTTTCTGTGATGCCAGTTGACAGACACATTTACCTCCAAGGTGATTTTGAGATATTTTAATCAGCTTGGTGCTCTGAAGGACTGTGATTACGATTGCCAATGTGTTTGTAGTACATTGGCATCTCAAACTTCCATTGCTTTGTATTTTACAGGTGCCAGTATTCAGGCCCATGGACCTCATGGTTGAAGCTAGTCCACGAAGAATATTTGCCAATGCTCACACGTATCACATCAATTCCATCTCCATTAATAGCGATTATGAAACGTACTTATCCGCAGATGACTTGCGGATTAACCTGTGGCACCTAGAAATTACAGACAGAAGTTTTAGTATCTTTTTGATGTTGTGTTGTATGATGGGAACAGCTGGGTTACAACAAAACCGTTGGATTTTATTTCCTTTCCTGAGAAGCTTTTTAAACAGCATGTTTATCTGTTCCCTGGTTATTTCTCCCTTGTAGTTGTAAGGACTTTCACTTCTGGAGAGGTAGCTTACCATGGGCAATATAAGGAGAAAATCTGCTTGACTTGCAGTAGGAAACCAGTCAGGGGAATGCCATCCTTGTCTCAGCATTCTTTCTTACCTTCTAACGTAACCATCAGCCCCACCTGCACGTGCACCTACAAATGTTGCAGGCAATAGGATCACAGAAATAAGTATTCAGTCCCATTGCTGGGAGCAGAGACCTGTGGACAAATCAGCAGGATCCTGAGAAGTTGTTGCACATGCCTTCTGTATAATGTAGTAGGGTAACTAAAATTTAAGCAAAATAGTTCTATGTGAAAAAAAACTTGAGTAGTATACATGTAGCATCAAATTAGTTACTGCTGAAGTGGAGTGAAAAATTAAGCAGGCTTGTGCTGTTGTGAGGATTAACTTAAAACTTTCACAGAATGCAATGTTACGGTCTTGCTTTCTGGACAATTACGGGCCTTGATTTTAACTTTCATCCAGTTTGTGACTGGATCTCTCAGTCCTTGGCATGCAAGTCTTGTCTTGCTTGCGAATTCTGAGCATTATCTTTGATTTGGCTTGTTTTAATTCTGTTTGGCTAATTCAGATACACTTTGGTGAACTAAGTAAGCATTGCAGTATAAAAGTAAAGCTGAAAAATGTTATGAAAACGGGAGAAAATTTTCTTAACAAAATGCTGTAGATATTGTAGATATTAAGCCTGCCAACATGGAGGAGCTCACAGAGGTGATAACGGCTGCAGAGTTCCACCCAAACAGCTGTAATACCTTTGTATACAGCAGCAGTAAAGGAACGATTCGTCTCTGTGATATGAGAGCATCAGCACTCTGTGACAGACACTCAAAATGTAAGTTCTGTCCTGCACTGTTTATTGACTTCTTGTGGAATAAGATACTTTCTCATTACATGGAACTAAGCACTCAAGAATATATTAAATTGTCTTGTGTGTATATGTTTGTATTGGATTTCTGTAGTACATTGAATAGATTCTAAACCCAAAATCTAAATAAATCTAAAATTAGATTCATATTTTGCCAGAGTAGAAGTAGTTGATAAAATTATTAGCAGCTTGAGCTGGGGAGTCTGTCTAGACAGCAGGACTAGGAGTGGCTTTCTGCAGGAGGTCAAACACTACCCGAGTTTGGTCTGTAATTGATGCTGGATATCTGCATGTGTCAATGAAGACTCTCTAATACTGGCAAGTAGTTGAAGCCGACCATGACTTACTAGGAAAATACAGTATTTGAGTGTGACAAGTATATTGTAAGGCATTCAAAAAAAAAGCATTCCTGTTGAAAGTTATTGTATATAATGCAGGCAGAGTAGCGCATGTTTCAAGCTTACTGAGAAAGTGTTAACCTATTTGGGTGTATCTTGTATTAGAATAGACATCAACTTACTTCTTTAAATGCCTCTTATTTTTATACAGTGTTTGAAGAACCAGAAGATCCTAGCAACAGATCATTTTTCTCTGAAATCATCTCTTCCATATCTGATGTCAAATTTAGCCATAGTGGTCGATATATGATGACTAGAGATTACCTGTCAGTGAAGATCTGGGATTTAAATATGGAAAATAGACCTGTGGAAACATACCAGGTATTGTGTGAAGATGATGTAGGCTAGAAATTAAATCCTTGGAGGATGCTGAGTCTTACTAATAGTCTTGATGTGGCAGTAAAATTTTTGTCTATAGATCACTACCTCCAGACAAAGCATCAATGAGATTTGTGGGTTCCACACACGTGCTAAAGGATCTTGCTATTTGCAGGCTGACTGCAGAACCCAAACCCATGTTTAGGTATTAAAAGGCTTCCCTTTTACACAATGGAAATTGCTGTGGTGGTTTCTTTGTAAGAAAATTTGTGAAGGGATGCTCTTCATCATACACAGGAGGAAGATCAGTCACCAAAGCATGATTTTTAGAAAGAAGCAAAGTCTGATAAATCCTTTCAGGTAGCTGAAAGGGTACTGAGGGCATGACAACTGCCCAGAGAGGGAAAGCATTCTGAGGAATTGCCAAGTCTGGGGAGATGCCTCTTTCCTCACCCCAAGTGACTTCATTTGAAATCTCTGTAGAGCACAACACATTAATTCCTGCATCTGTTCATTGTTCTTTATCCATACGGTCAGAGGAGGGAGCTGTGTGTGCTCCTGTGGATAGGGTGTGAGCACTGTCAGACACTTCATTACTTTTGGAACAGAATTCATGAAAGTTATTTTACAGGTATGCAAGCTCAGTATTCATTCAATTTATCTAACTGATTTTTTCCCAGGTGCATGAATACCTCAGAAGTAAACTTTGTTCACTGTATGAGAATGATTGCATTTTTGACAAGTTTGAGTGCTGCTGGAACGGATCAGACAGGCAAGTTTAATTCTTCTCTATATGCACTTAAGACCTCTCCAAGTTATTCTTAAAATAGGCAACTTGAAGCATGGCCTCCAATATCTCTCCGGTTTTATTCGTGGGCTGGCTTGAATAGTATTTTAGTACTTCAGTAGAGTTAAACGTGTGTATATTGGCTCTTAACCCTTGGTTTTGTAGCACAGGATTACAGAGAATTGTCTTGGTGTACTAAAGAGATCTACAAAAATCCAGTGTATTTGGTTTTCATTAGATCTCACACTTCCTGTGTGTGCACGAGAAGCAAATTATGTATTTGGCTTTCATTAGATCCCACACTTCCTGTGTGTGCACGAGAAGCAAATTGAACGATGACACTTGAATTGATGTGCTGAGATAACAAAGTGTGTACTTTTAAAAGGTCCAGTCAAGGAATAAGAGACCTTTTTTTAAAAAAAAAATAAAATCTGTAAGACATTCAGATTCCTTAATTTCACTTTAGATTGTAGAAGGCATGGGCAAGGCTGCCTGCTTTCTGCTTATGTAACAAGGGAGGATCTTAGTTGGGACCCTGAGGTTTCATAAGAGGACAGGTTATTTTCAACTGAACCGTTCCTGTCTTCCTTCCCCCTCTCTGCAGCATTGTCATGACAGGATCTTACAACAACTTCTTCAGAATGTTCGACAGAAACACAAAGCGAGACATCACCTTAGAGGCATCCCGGGAAAACAATAAGCCCCGTACCGTTTTGAAGCCACGTAAAGTATGCGCGAGCGGTAAGCGAAAGAAGGATGAGATCAGTGTCGACAGCTTAGACTTCAACAAGAAGATTCTACACACAGCCTGGCATCCTAAGGAAAACATCATTGCCGTAGCTACTACAAACAACTTGTATATATTTCAAGACAAAATGAATTAGGGTTGGCATTCCTAACTGAAGAGTCCACTTCCTGCATAGTTGAAATAGTTGAATCTAGCATTTGTACCTGTAAACGAAAGAGAGTGAGAGGTCCATTATGGCACCCCTTTCCAGTGTTTAAAAATGTGCCATATGACAACACACTTTTATAGCTACATGGAGAAAGCTCTGTTGATCTGTCACTGCGTTCTTCTCCATGTCTGCTAGCCATTTAGGTGAGGATAGGGCACTTTTTAATTTAAATGACTACTTGCACCATCTTGCCTAATGGACTAGATTGGACTGTATCAACATCGGTTTACTCCACTTTTTATGCCTTCCATTGTGATGACGTCAAACACAGGGAAAGCCTTCAATCATGCTATGGGATTTAATTGTGTAACCTCATTACTGTATCATTCGTGGCCCCCTTTTTTTATTAAATACAGCTCATTCTTGCTGTGGCTTGTAGCATTCCTCCTCTTCTGGCCTCCTGGACTCCCCCTTTCCTTTTCATCCCCCTCCACCTAGCCTTGGTGGTGGTGTATAGAAAAACACAAAATAAAGCACATGAAATGGGTCCGTTTGGGGTCAGTGGTAAAGGGGGTCTGTGTTGCAACAAATGTTTTAATAAACAGTTGACTGTAATCACTCCTTGCCATGTCTGGCACCAAAAGAGAGAAAATAAGGAAAACAAACAAACAAACTACTGAATAAAAGTGACAAAGAATGGAGAATCTGTTTTCTTTTTTTTAATCTACCTCTTTATACAAATACTCTGTGTTTTACCTTAGATGCATGAAAATAAAATGATGTTTTTTGTAATGATTTTAACAAGTATTAATTATTTTTCATGGGAACGAAGAGAGGGAGGGATTTCACAAGTATCTGCATTTATTCATGAGTGACAATACCAGCCGTAGTATGTGTGACCACTTCCACATCCAAACCATAAGCCGCTGTCAGATTGTGCCATAATCTGAACAGGTCAGTTACAGTTCCAGTGTCCTTAAAGACTCCTTTTTTTTATTATTTTCTTTTTTTTTTTAAACGATGGCTTAAACTGGAACAGGAATAGAGTTTTCAGGTTTTAAAAACCATTTTATGGGACTAACGTCTTAATGTTTAGTTTCGTCGTGGTTTCTTTAATGCCTTGGTTTAGGATATGATACCTTTAATGCCTTGTTTAGAGTACGAAGTCCCTTGTGGCTTTTTAAAAAGTTGTCTGAATTCTTGTCTGGCAGTATGATGTTACGTAGTACAAAATACCAAGTGATTACGTAGGTAATGACTACACTGCATTCTGAGATGCTCTATTTTCTGTATTTTATTGCTATCAGTAACTGAGTGGAAATGTAGTTTTACCATGCAAGTGTTTCTTCTGGCTTTTGGCTTTGCAAATTTTTTGCACTTAGAGACATGTTAAATGGTGCAATGATCAGAAATACGTGGAGTACAGAAGCTGCATGAAATAAGTGTTCATAGTTCTTTGAGAGATTTAAACTCTTCAGCAAATAAGGCTTATCCAAAGATGAACTAGATATTGATGCTTTATAAGGCTCATGAGTTTTTACCTCCAGATATTTTTGCTAATAATGCTTTTAGGTTTACTCTTCCTTCACGGAAATGTTCAGAATGAAGTTTAAAGTTGTAGTGAACTTAACTTGGCTGGGAGAATTTTCACTTTTCAGTTACCTGTATTTAAATTATTTCTGTGGCTTAGTTATAGGTAGTTATTATAATGCCTCTATTATTTGATCAACTGAGATATACTGTTTCTGCTGTAAAATTCTGGCTGGGTTAGAGATTGTTAACAAGACTACTATTGCAACCATACTTCAATTTCTTTAAGTCCTTGTGCAGTGGTTTGAAAATGTAAAAATTCTAATATTTATTAGATCTGGTTCTCTTCAATACAGTATTTGTCTTGTAACATGCATGCCTGACCATGAGCCTTTGCAAGGATTTTACCTTCTTTTTTTTTTCTTCACCTCTTAGCCTTGTAAAAAAAGAAGTAAATTTAACTGCCCCAGGGACAGCAACTGTTTTCCAAAGGGTGAATGAACTGATAGGCCCTACTCCTACTTACATAGCATGTGACTAATTTTACTCAAATGACTCGACTTGCTAGTAGTTAAGGAAACAACCTGAGTAACATTAATCATGTGTATAGGTTTTTACAGGATCAGGGCCAAGATTCTTTATCTTAGCGCAAGGGCAAAGAGGTAATTAGATGCTTTTTTTTACACCTGAGCTGGTACAATTGATCTCTGTTTTGCAAAGAATGGCATAGGTTCAATGACTGCCATTTGGGGAAGATTGAGGGTCCTGGTATCAAGACTGCTGCTCTTGTGTGTATCTGTATCCTGAATGATGCACTGAATACCTGAAACATTGCTTAGCACAGACACGAAAGGAAGTGAGGATGTGAAGATGACCTAGAACTGGACAGGTAGATTTCCTTAGAAGGAAGTGCAGCCTCCTAGCAATACTACATTCAAGCAAAACTGCCTTGCGGACCTCAGCTGTGCATGTTGGGATGGAATTGAGGGGTCTAAAGCTAGTCCTGGGAAAGATTCTTTGGTTTTGTCAGTAGTGGTGATCCCCGGCATGTCATCTGAGGTTTACCTTACCCTCACCAAAACCAGCTACTGACTTTGGTGTCATGCTATCCAACTAGATAATTCTCTAAGCACACTGTCCATTGACATATGCTGTAAATCTTATATTTTATTAATAAAAGTATGCCTAGAATACATTTTGTCAGGTTGCTTTTTATCCTCTTTCCTGTCCCTCTCCTTTTCTCCATTTACAGGTATTTTTGCAATGACTTCCTGTTGAGCAGTGCCCCATTCTGCTAACTTGTGATTTCTGGGCCTCACCCTAGACAGCCCCTCCAGGCAGGGTGGATGGTGGGGTAATTCTGCCTTCCACCAACACTGCACGGTTGCAGAAAAGCAGCTGCTTCATTCTAGCAGTCCCTTCCAGTGCCCAGGGAAACCAATGCATATTCTCAATTCTTAGTTTTTGAATACAAGAATTAACACAGAAGAGTTTTGTTCACTGGTGTCTTTTGTGTCTGGAAGCCAGTGATGCTACCAAACTGCCAACAACTACCACTGAAGCGGTCAGTAGCTGCAAAATTACAACAGTGCTCTGAACCACAGTGATACTGTTGCCAACAACTAAGGTTTGGTGTTGGTTACCTGACTGATGCAATGCTGAGCTGTAGGCAGGTTCTGTGGCAGAAGTCCCTTCACTATTTTCCTAGCGTCTGCTGCCTTGAAAATGTATTGAGTGAGCAGCATCACCACCCTGCTTTTCCTACTGCTCTGTTGAGGCAGGACTCTTTAACTGCTACTTTAGCATTTACTACTTAAATACATATTCTTTTATTCTCACCCTAATGGGAAAAAGCTCTGTTAATCCTGATAAGCAGAAACGTGTACTCTGCTTCCTCTTTGAGAGGAGCTGTTGGATGATGGAATACTAATATATTTGTTGGGGTTTTTTTATTGGCAGCTCTGGAATCAGTTATTCTTGGGCACGACATAGCTAGGAAGTGATTTCCTGTGCACCAGTCTTCAGCTCTTCGTCTTGGGCTGCAGAGAGGGTGTATAGCCTCCCAATTCACAACATACACTCCTGACTGTAATGGAACAGACGGAGATGGTCCCTTTTGCCCTTTCCCATGTAATTGACTGCTGTAAATCAAAGGGCTGGTGCATTGAATCGGGGTGGGGAGATGGGTGCCAGAAGTGAGGTTGCTATGTAATGACTGTCAGTGGCCTTAGTGATTTGTGTATGTTTGCTCTTCGCAAATGTCACATTTAACCTGGTATGGAAAGGTTGGGGCCTGTAAAAATGAGTGGTGGATGAAAATGATAGCAGTGTTTGGAATATAAACAGTAAGCATTTCTTTCTTCTATGATACAGCAGAGAGAACAATAAATGGTGTGAATTCCTTTTCTCTACACAATCTACCCTTGAATTTTAATAATCTAAGCCTTTTACAAGAAAACAGCACTCACGGTTTTGTGTGATGTGGATTTTTTTTGGTTGGTGTTCCATGAAAAGGCAAAACCACCACCGAGAGGTGGGGTGAAGGTTAAATGTTGTGACCATCCCTCGGAGTCCTCTTTGGAGTTGCCAGTCAACTGATCAGTTGTTGCTAAATAAGAAATATAAGAAAAGCATTTCCAGTACATGTCATCTCTCCCTCCAGCATAAAGAAACCGACCGAAGTGTGTAGTGAAAAGACTGCCTTTACATTTGCAGGATGCTGGGGTGGCATCCATCTTAGTTACAGGTTAGCTTTTTTTTGTCAGATTTGGGGCACAGAAGTACAAATTAAAAAAATAAAAGTAACTGCAGCATGTTTATTCTTTACCTAAACTGGTTCAAACACATAGAACTCCTTAGAACCATAAGCATAGAACTGGGATTAGCTTGGCTCAGCTATTTGAGATAAATCAGGTAGCTGCTGGTTTGATTTCAATCAACTTAAAGGCTTTCTATAACTTTCTAGAAGAAAAACTACTTTTTATTGCACTTCAGTATGAAAGGCCTTTCCGAGGAGTTTACACCATTGTTTCTCTTCTATTAACATGTGGTTTTCTGTCCCTCCAACCTTGCTATTGTCATAGCATTTTCCATCCAAGGATTCAAATTACTTTACAAACATTAATTACATCATTCAAGTGCCTTAAGGAACTTGTGTAGTGGTTAGAGCCCAGGGCAGAAAGTCAGGACTTGTGAATGCTATTTCTGGCTCTGCATTGACTCACTCTATAATCTTGATCAATTTATTTCTGACTCAGAAATGTTAATAGTCCCACTTTACTGATAAATATTCATGCCACAAGTATTACGGCAAATGCTTCCTGAGTGATGGAAATGACAAATACTCAAGATGCCAGCCCTGTGATTGTTAGGGTTGCAAATTAGGACAGGGTTACCTAGCCAGGTTTTCTATCCAAAAATCGTATGTAGCTCATTGTTCTGATTCCAATCCAGAATGCATCTGTGGCCCTTCTACCTGTAAACAGCTCTTTTATTATTTAAATTACTGCTTGGTTTTTACTACATGTAGCAAATTCTGTTCCAGTGATATCTCAGAGGCATCCAGATTTTCCACAAGATTAAGAATTCGGTACAGCAACGCAGGGTATGCAGTCAATTTGGTAAGAAAGGTCAGCGTTATGAAAGGCAGATTTCAAATGTCCACATTATTTGGACATTTGTCAACACAGCATAGATGAGCAGAATATGAAGAACATTTGAAACTGGTACGGGACGATTGCGAGAGTTGTACATAGTGGCTTTTTCCCTAGCTTGAAATAGTTCTGGCACAAACAGAAAAAAAAAAGAGTTCATTCTTTGCATGTGCAATGAGGAGATAACAAAAGAAAGCACACTAATGGGAACGGATCTGCGTGACTTTGGTCTCTGATGGCATCAGTTACTGAACTACTGTGGGTACAGTAACGTAAGAAACCACAATTTATATTCTTGTGGCTGCTGATGGGAGGGGTGTATGATATAAAAGGCTCCTTTATTGCTCCTGGGAAGCAAAATGTTTATATACGTATGTGTGAGTTACAGAGCTCCAGCAAAAAGACCCTAGGCCTCAAAACAAACCTTAAGTGACGTCAAATGAAACAAAATTAGTAAAGTTGCTTTCTCAAGCTGTGAAGGCGAATTAAATAATCATCTGTTAAGGAAGTTAAGTCTC